GCATTCAATTACCGTCAGATGAGCATCTAAGGGCCCGCCTTAGGGCCCTAGGTGGAATCCAGGGGGTAGAGCCCTCGCGGTTTTAGGCATTTAATCATGGTCAGATGAGCATATTTTATATAATTTGACACTGGCAGTTAACTATTTTTTCTTTCTTGCTCTCTTTCTTTCTATTTCTCTTTAATATACTTTTTCAAAAAAAGAGGGGGGGGGGGGGGGGGTAGGGGCTCGAGGATCCCGATCCCCGCCGTTCCGCGGGCCATGACATGTAGGCATCTCAAGAAGCATTTTCTTGCCTGGCTGTAAGGCCATTAAAAAATATATATGCATGTTAAGCGTCCCGCCCGCTTCCTTTTTGGGGGCCGCCTCCTTCTTTTTTTCTTTTTTTAAATTTTTTTTTTAAAATATATATATATATTATATAATATAATATTTTTTTTTTTTTAAAGAAAAAGAACATGAAAAACACTGCTAAAATGGATCTATTTCCGATCTAAAAAAAAAAAAAAAAAAAAAAAAAAAAAAATGTCGGCGGCCATCTTAAAAAATAGCCAGACTGTCAATTACCGAGCGGCCATTTTGAGCGGCCATTTTGAAGGAAGAAAAAAAAAAGGGCCTCCTCCTTCCTATTTTTCGAAAAAAACAGGACGCTAAACATGTTTTTTTTTTATTTCCTAATTAGGAATTTGTCATTTTCCAACAAACGCATAAAAAAGTATAATTTACTTAAAAGTGAGGAAAAATCTCGCTTGATTTCTGGCACCCGGACAGGCTTTCCTCCAGTGACCCTGCTTCCCACATGCGAAGCAGTAATCTGTTGGCCTTGCATGGCCCACTGCCGCCCCCCCCCCCCCCCGCCAACCATAAGTGGAGGAATTGGCGCCACCCCCAACAGAGAATCTATTTTTCGCGCCAAACTCACGAAAATAATGATCAGTAGAAGAGCTTGGAGCACCCTGTGTATATAGCCATCGCTGTTGTGAGGTTTGCCCTTGGCATCTGATGAAGACCGAGACGCCTTGTGTTTCCTCGACGCTCGTGCCCGAGCTTGCCCGATGCGTTCTCATCCTCAGAATCGCTTGCCAGATCATCGCTCCGATATTCATCGACTGTAGATCACCTTGAGCATGTAAAGGCGCTATATAAATATCAATATGTATGTATGTACTAGATTAGGAAAATCAAGGTTGACGCATTCTCGTTCGCCGACTGAGACGACGTAACGCATGCGCAGTGCCTTAAAATGACGTCACACGTTGCAGTCAAAGCTGTCGACGTGCAAATCTAAAAGTCCCTAATAGCTGCCCTCGTACGTACTTAGCCAAAAATTACACCACGAACAATAATACCTTCTAGAAATATCCGCCGGACTGATGATTACTTACCTATCGAGCAATATTGTCCAAAGATGGTAATTATCCTAAGAGTAATTGTTCTAATGGTGATTTATCGGGGGATACTTGTCCTTTGTGGGGGGGGGGGGGGGGGGAGGGGTTAATTGTCCCGCTGTTAAATGCCATCTATACTTTTAAATTATGAGGTGTTATCATTATCCCTCGCGCGCATGAGGCTTAATTCATTTAGTTCTCCTCATACCCCGTCATTCCCTCTCCCCAACTCAATGTCTTTCTCGCCCTCTCTACATCTATATCCCTCTCTCTCTTTCTGGGTCAATCTATCTCGACCCCCCCCCCCTCTCTCTCTTCATATCTCTTTCCTTTTATGTGTATACGACTGCATGGCTGAAAAAAACTGACAAATAGGCAAATATATATTCTTCTTTGGATTTCGTTCCTAAATTAAATTCGAACTACAAATACAACTCTTCTCGAACCCGCCCACAACCCCCCCCCCCCTCTATCTCTCTCTCAAAACTGTCTGTTACAAAATAAATACATCACTAAACGTGTTCAAAATGAATTGTTTCATTACATTGTCTTACTATAATCGGTTTAATAAAGTATCATTTACCTAACTACAAATACACGAACAAGTAGATACATGCCCAATTTGATATTGCACAAATGCATATGCATTGCAGGCCTAATATTGGACCACAATCAACACAATTACACTGTAATTGATGTACATAATTCACTTCTACACATAAAAATGCCAACAACTAATTATAGGTTAATTAATAATGCATAGGTCACCAGGCGCGGATCCAGGATTTCTTAGGGGGGGGGGGGGCCCAAATTTGAAATTATGCTAGCCAAATATTGGTACGTAATGGTGACCAACGGTGATGTAATGCGGGGGGGGGGGGGGTCGGTGCAGGGAGGGGCGAGTCCCCCCCCCCTCCTCCACGAAACGCGGAAGCTTTGACGTTTCATTAAATTATTAAAGAAAGAAGACGATTCGTTGTACCGTTCTCGACTCAAAATCTTCGTCTGAATTAGTTTTGCCCCTCCCGCGCGAAGCGCGGAAAATTTTACGTTTTATTAAATTATTAGAGAAAGAAGACGATTCATTGTAGAGTTCTCAACTCTTAATCCTTGTCTGAATTCAGGTTCCCCCACCCTCCAGCGCGAAGCGCGGAAGCTTTGACGTTTCATTAAACTATTAAAGAAAGAAGACGATTTGTTGTACCGTTCACGACTCTTAATCCTCGTCTGAATTTAGTTTTTTCCCTCCCGCGCGAAGCGCGGAAAATTTTACGTTTTATCAAAATATTAGAGAAAGAAGACGATTCATTGTAGAGTTCTCGAATCTTAATCCTTGTCTAAATTCAGCCCGCCCCCCTCCTGCGCGAAGCGCGGAAGCTTTGACGTTCTATTAAACTATTAAAGAAAGAGGACGATTCGTTGTTAATTCCGTTCTCGACTCTTAATCCTCGTCTGAATTTAGTTTTCCCCTCCCTCCTGCGCGAAGCGCGGAAGCTTTTAAGTTTCATAAGATAATGAGAGAAAGAAGACGATTGGCTGTACAGTTCTCGACTCTTAATCCTCGTCTGAATTCAGGTCCCCCCCCCCCTCCCGAGCGAAGCGCGGAAGCTTTTACGTTTCATTAAATCATTAGAGAAAGAAGACGACTCGTTGTACCGTTCTCGACTCTTAATCCTCGTCTTAATTCAGTTCCCCCCCCCCCTCCTGCGCGAAGCGCGGAAGCTTTTAAGTTTCATAAGATAATGAGAGAAAGAAGACGATTGGCTGTACAGTTCTCGACTCTTAATCCTCGTCTGAATTCAGGTCCCCCCCTCCCCCCGCGCGGAAGCTTTGACGTATCATAAGATTATGAGAGAAAGAAGACGATTCACTGTACCGTCCTCGATTCTTAACCCTTTTCTGAATTCAGTCCCCCCCCCCCCTCCCCTCCCGCGCGAAGCTTTGACGTTTCATTAAAATATTAGAGAAAGAAGACGATGCGTTGTACCGTTCTCTATACTCTTAATCCTTGTCTGAATTTCAAAGATGTTCTTTGTCTGCTCCTTTTACTTCCTACGTCCTCTTCCGTTTTGGGGGGACCGCCCCCCCCCCCTGGCTACGCGCCTGCGGTTAGATAAACACATTTTGATAACTTGTCCGGCCCCGGAAGCTCAGGGTTTTAGGCGTTTAATTAAGGTCAGATGATCATTTTTTTTAATACCTATTATTTTGTGACACTGGTAGTTCACTATTTGGCGTGAGGTACAGGGGGCGGATCCCCCCCCCAAAAAAAAAGAGGGGTTTTAGGCAATAAATTACCGTCAGATGAGCATCTAAGGGCCAGCCGTAGCGCCCTAGGTGGAATCCAGGGGGCAGAGCCCCCGGAAGCTTAGGGGTTTTAGGCATTTAATCACGGTCAGATGAGCATATTTTGATGCTCATTTTTTAACACTGCACTGGCATTTAACTATTCTTTCTTTCTTGCTCTCATTCTATTTTTTTCTCTTTAATATACTTTTTCAAATAAAGTGGGGGGGGGGGGGGGGGGAGGGAGCTCGAGGCTCCCGATCCCTGCCGTACCTCGGGCCCTGACATGTAGGAATCTCAAGAATCATATTTCGTGCCTGGCTGTAATTTAGGAATTTGTCATTTTCCAACAAACACATATACAAACGTATAATTTACTAAAAAATGAGGACAAATCTCGGAAATTATGTCATTTCAGCATTAATTGTAATCCACCGTTGTGGAATTAGAAATAAACCACGTTTGAATTTGATTCCCCCAAAGCCCCCCCCCCCCCATTAGTACGCCAGTATCTCCTCTTTTCCTTTTTTCTTTCCCTTTCCTTCCTTCTCTCTTATTTTTTTGATTGGGGGGGGGGGGGGGGGGGGTTAACAGCCTGGGAGGCAGGGCCCTTTTGGTCCCCCCCCCCGATTTCCTTCTTCCCCCTTTTCTTTTCTTCTTCTTCTTCTTCTTCTTCTTCTTCTTCTTCTTATTCTTCTTCTTTCTTTCTTTCCCTTTCTCTCCTCTTTCCCTTTCCCTTCTTTTCCTTTCTTCTCTCTTTTTTTTTTTTTTTTTTTTTTTTGCGGGGGGGGGGGGGGGGCCAAGGCCCGCTCGGCCCCCCCCCCCTGGATCCGCGCCTGTAGGTCACAATTGATTTATGTCTAATGTAATATTATTTATTATACAAGAACTTCAAAATAATTTATTCAAAAAATTGACTGCACACATGGATAGTAAATGAATATAACTTTTATCCCCTAAAATTTTGAAACATGTATATTGAGTTGTCAACGTTCAATTCCAGAGATACTGTACATTGAACTCTTAAGGCTTGTTCAGATGTGAAGTGATAAACGGCCACAAAAAAGCCCCTGCGGATGTAACGTGTAAAACAATGGGATCTGCGCGCAACATAGGTATATTCACCAAGATCTATAAAATAAGATACAAAAATGTGTGGCATATAACACTTCACGTAACCATACCAAAAAACAGGGTTTTGCCGTGTCATATCTGAATGAGCCTTCTTTTAAATACCAAATACTTTTATGAATTCAATTAAGGGAGCTATGAGATGTCAAAACCGGTGAAATCAAACATAGTCTGAAATATAACAGTATTCTCTCTTTCTTTCAACTCCGAAACAACACATCTTTTATTGGGCCTGAAACATATAGGGAGATAAAAGAATACTTATATAACAAAACCATCCAGGCAAATTATAAACGAAAAATATTTCGTGACTCAGTGAAATCTGTTAGTACATGGCAATGATGGCAACATATATTATATCAAGCAGACACAAAATAGGCTTATACATTAACTTTGCTTTTGGTCACCATTATTTTCAATATATACAGACAGGAAATTAAGGTAATTATATCAAATAAACTCTGGCTACTACAATGTACAAACACTGTAATTTTCACATTTCATATTTGATCTCTCTTCTACTTCTAATAGCCAAGAGAAAATGAGATCAGATGTTGATGATTACTTACAGAAATCAGAATTAAAATATTACTGTAACATTTATGCAGTGAGAATTGAATGACACGATTTGAACTTGTAGCTTAATGTACTTTAGACCGAAAAAGAAGCAGTGATAAGGAATAAAGAATTGGTTTGTGAGGATGCACCAAAACACACTGCTCAGTAGTCCTTCACCCTAGTCAGATGAGTCATTTTGCAAGATAAATTTCAGTTCTGGTCATGTGAATGTAATGTTAAGAAACAATTGGAAACAGGTTGTTTATGCATGTGTAGTACATAATTGCTACAGCCCACAAGACCAACAAGGTCGGTCTCACGTACAATGTGACAAATGCTTTGAGGGGTAATTCACTAGATCGACAGCCCCTCACCCCTCCCCCGGTTATGTGTATATAGAACTACTCACATTTGGCAATAAACTTTTAAGCTATTTCTAGTCATAATTCGAACATCAGGGCGAACATGAAAACCATTCCTTTTTCTGCAAACATACTTAGCAAACTGCCAAATCATTTTTGCTTTTATCACAACTCAACCTTCTCGTGGTACTGTCACTCACTGTCTTCAGAACTCTCACTACTGTTTTCACTGTCACTACTGTCATCACTGTCGCTATTTTCTGCACTACTGTCACTACTATCGTTGCTGTCACTATTTTCTTCACTTTTGCCATTGTCAAATTTTCTTAATACCTTTGACTTAAAGTCCGAATCTGTAACTCTTTCCATCACCTCATGCAGCCTCAAAGGAAGGATGTCTTGGTAGTTGATCTTGTGTCGGAGGACTACTCTGACAGCTGTTTCCTGCAGTTGTAGAACTGTGGTTGGTGGACTCAACAATGACTCAATCAGCTTAAAATGTGGCTTCTTCTTCTTCAAGTCAAACTCATCCAAAATGTCTCTGGCAGTTTGACCTTCATGATTCACTGCTTCTAGAGAACATCCATGACGTATAAAGGCCCGAGCAAGATCATGGATACATCTCATGACTTTTTTGAAACATCCAAACGAAGTTGCTGGAAATGTAGAGTATGCCAACATGTGCAGTATGGTGTTGCCACTGGACCTATCCTGGTAAGAAGCATTGTCAGATGGCAGAACCCTGAGCAACATATACCTTATTTTCACAACGAACCATTCCCTTGAAGATATGCATTTGAAGAGTACACCCTCATCCTTCCGCACAAGCGTCATGATTTCAAATGTTAGGGAAGGCATCTTGTTATACTCGTCAGGCCTTTCCCTCAGGATTCTACTTCGAATGACACTCAGTAAGTTCTCTATGTCTTGCAAGGTGGATTTCAAAATGTTACGAGATGAGTAGTCCATGGCTTCTGAAAAAAGTATGACACTAAACCTCTGCATAAGGGAATGACACACATTCAGCAGACTATCAAAGTGTACATTCTTAAATATTGTAACATATGCAGACAACATATCCCTAGTAAGTTGACGAACTAGAGGTTCTGGTTCTTCATCCATGTCGTAAGATACTTGGTGGAAATGATACGCATATGATAACTGCTTTAGTACTGTTCCTGGCAGAGCTTCTCCACATCCTTCAGAATCAAGGACATGAGAGAATATTTGAAAGCCACTTTCTACCTTTTCCTGATGAAACACGAAACGCGATGCAAAGTATGCAAGGGATGGGAAGAAATAACTCTGCTTGAGACTTGGAGGAAACAGTTTCTCACCAACCAAAAATGCATGGGCCTTCAAAGCACTTTCAGATGATTCAACTGACTTGATTTCCTCCAGCTTGTGGAATTCTTTTAGAGAGAGTTTTGAGAAGCAAGCAGCAAGTTCTGAGGTTTGAACTTTCCCTTCATTAACTCCTGCACCTTCTTTTAAGTTTATGGCTCTGCAGAAAGAGTGAAAAGCATCGTTGATGGGACGTTGACCCAGAGTAGCTTGTAACACTCCAAGTAATTCAGAAGCTTTGATCTTGTCCTCCACAGGAATATCATCATCACCCATCGACAAGAAGAAGTCAACAAAGTCATTCAGCAAGTAATATGCAGCTACACATACTGGACTCCATCCATCTATGTTGTTCTGAACAGATGCTCCATAATTCAGAAGAAGCTTAACGATAGAAATCTTGGGGGTTCTCCATGTTGTTGGTTCAAGCTGGTATCCACGGGGTCTTTCTAGAAAGGATGCATTGCCTAGTGTGTCTTCCAACATGCATGCATAATGCAAAGGAGTGTTACCATCCTTTAAGCTCTTGGAATTGGGGTTGGCACCATTTGCTAATAAAAACTTGACGACATCCTCCAGACCTTTCAAACATGCGAGCATCAATGGTGTTTGTCCTTCCTTGTTCCGGACATCAATACGACTCTCTTGAGCACATCGCTCTAGCATCTGTTCAGTCACTATACCCTGAAAAATCGCATTGGCTAAGTCACCTGCTGCTGGTTCTGGTTCTGATAATGTTTCCCCGCTGCTACATCCAGATGCCATGGTCCTGATATCCCTGCACCTCCAAGGGCTGTCAGCTACTTGCTTCTTGCTAGAGCTAGAGATAAAAATGTAAACGAGAGTAGCATACACTTAATAATAATAATAATAGAGTGCATTGAATGAAGCCATGGAAATTGATAACAAGTGTTTGTTTCTAGTCAGACCCCTGTTCCATAACACTTGTTAGCAATAGCAAATGCTTAATTTCTGTGACAAACTTGCTCTCAGCCTATCAAATGCCATGGGGTCAATAGCATATAACAGTTACTGTAACTTTAATGTAATGTTATTGACAACCAGTTTTAAGAAACAGAACCCACATTTTTGGAAAATGTGTAGTCTGTGTTCGCCGCACAAAGAAATTCTGTGATGCACTCATATTAGACTATCAGAAGATGATTACTCACACATGTACTACCCAAGAACTGCATTATAATCTATAGAAATAGAACATCAAAATACTATTCAATAAAGGATGGAAACTAGAGAACACTAGAATTTCTTGGTGACCATAGATGAAGGAAAGTTGGCATTTCAATTCAGCATCTAAGTCGGCCTTCAGTTATAATTTCTGCTACTTAGAGAGACAGTTATTTTTTAGCTGGCTTTGTGCTGCTCTCTTGTGCTGAGAGAAGAAACCTACTTGCATTCACTTGTCGTTGTATGCTATTGTATAGCATATAGGGCATCAATGTACTATCACATTTGTTTTACACTGATTGATTTACAGTACACCAAGTGACTATTCCTGCAAAGGATTGTTGGTTCACAGGAAGGATGGAAAGTGGAAACAAAATTAAACTAAGAGAGACAAAGGAAAGGTCTTCTTTCTTGTTTCATCCTGAAGAGGATCAGCATGTAAGGGAGAAGCAGAGGATTGAGCGGTTATGCGTTCTTCGATAGATGCCTTTAGATGGAGTCCTGAAAAGACTCACAAACTATAAAGTATAAAGAGAGAACAAGACTAGAAGATGTAGAGGTCTGGATATTTTTAACTGACTGGCTGGTCATCATGAGGACTGTATGGATAATTGACACATTGCTCAAAGTTTTACAAAAATCAAGAAGGGATTATCAATTTGAAAAGCAGTAATTGACGTAATACAAATTGTGATTGCCCTAATTTCCCTTGCAAGCAGCCCTACATTTGTTTTAATTGAGAATCATCTATATCTCTCAATTGCTGATAGAGGAATAGATTCATTTCAGACCTGTGTGTGTTAAGATTTGTCCAGTATCATATTTAGAACATAGAATATCTATGGAGAAAAAAAGGGGGAAAAAATAAGAAATGTAACAAAGAAAACAAAATGAAGGGCTGCTAATGGGGGAAATTACACAATTCCCAGTTTGCATTTGATTGCTAAGACCTCTAGGACTTCATAACTTTACCACCATCTATCACTGACATCTATGTACCTCATTTTCCCACACCAGCTTCATACTAGAGTGATCTTTCCTATAAAGGGCATAAAATGGATGACAATCCAGAAAATTCAGTGAGTACCTAACAACAACAACACTTATTCTCTTCACTACTGTCATCTGTATCTAACACTGTTAATTCAAAGTCTAAATCTGTAACTCCTTCCACCAGCTCACGCAGCCTCAGAGGAAGGATGTCTTGGTAGTTGATGTTGTGTCGGAGGACTGCTTTGACAGCTGCTACCTTCAGTTGTAGAACTGTGGTTGGTTGACTCAACAATGACTCAATCAGCTTAAAATTTGGCTTCTTCTTCAAGTCAAACTCAGGCAAAATGTCTCTGGCAGTTTGACCTTCATGATTCACTGCTTCTCCAGAACATCCATGACGTATAAAGGCCCGAGCAAGATCATGGATACATCTCATGACTTCTTTAAGACATCCAAATGAAGTTGCTGGAAATGTAGAGTATGCCAACATGTGCAGTATGGTGTTGCCACTGGACCTATCCTGGTAAGAAGTATTGTCAGATGGCAGAACCCTGAGCAACATATACCTTATTTTCACAAGGAACCATTCCCTTGAAAAAGATATGCAGTTGAAGAGTACACCCTCATCCTTCCGCACAAGCGTCATGATTTCAAATGTTAGGGAAGGCATCTTGTTATACTCGTCAGGCCTTTCCCTCAGGATTCTACTTCGAATGACACTCAGTAAGTTCTCTATGTCTTGCAAGGTGGATTTCAAAATGTTACGAGATGACCAGTCCATGGCTTCTGAAAAAAGTATGACACTAAACCTCTGCATAAGGGAATGAAACACATTCAGCAGACTATCAATGTATACATTCTTAAATATCGTAACATATGCAGACAACATATCCCTAGTAAGTTGACGAACTAGAGGTTCTGGTTCTTCATCCATGTCGTAAGATACTTGGTGGAAATGATACGCATATGATAACTGCTGTAGTACTGTTCCTGGCAGAGCTTCTCCACATCTTTCAGAATCAAGGACATGAGAGAATATTTGAAAGCCACTTTCTACCTTTTCCTGATGGAACATGAAACGCGATGCAAAGTATGCAAGGGATGGGAAGAAATAACTGTGCTTGAGACTTGGAGGAAATAGTTTCTCACCAACCAAAAATGCATGGGCCTTCAAAGCACTTTCAGATGATTCAACTGACTTGATTTCCTCCAGCTTGTGGAATTCTTTTAGAGAGAGTTCTGAGAAGCAAGCAGCAAGTTCTGAGTTTTGAACTTTCCCTTCATTAACTCCTGCACCTTCTTTTAAGTTTATGGCTCTGCAGAAAGAGTGAAAAGCATCTTCGATGGGACGTTGACAAAGAGTAGCCTCTAACACTCCCAGTAATTCAGACGCTTTGATCTTGTCTTCCAAAAGAATATCATCATCACCCATCGACAAGAAGAAGTCAACAAAGTCATTTAGCAAGTAATATGCAGCTACACATACTGGACTCCATCCATCTATGTTGTTTTGAACAGATGCTCCATTATTCAGAAGAAGCTTAACAATAGAAATCTTGGGGTTCTCCATTTTGTTTGTCCAAGGAGTCTTTCTGACCAGGATGCATTGCCTAGTGTGTCTTCTAACATGCATGCATAATGCAAAGCAGTGTTGCCATCCTTTGAGCTCTTGGAATTGGGGTTGGCACCATTTGCTAATAGGAACTTGACGACATCCTCCAGACCTTTCAAACATGCGAGCATCAATGGTGTTTGTCCATCCTCGTTTGGGACATCAATACCACCCTCTTGAGCACATCTCTCTAGCATCTCTTCACTAACTGGACCCTGAGAAATCGCAGTGGCCAAGTCACCTGCCGCTGGTTCTGATAAGGTTTCCCCACTGCTACATCCAGATGCCATGGTCCCGATATCTCTGCACCTCCAAGGGCCATCAGCTACTTGCTTCCTGCTAGAGCTTGAAATAACAATGTAAACGAGAGTAGCCTAAGTGTATACACTTAATAATAATAATACAGTGCATGGAAATGAAGAAGAAAAAACATCTTTGTTTCTAGTCCAGAGTAGGCCCGTTTCGAGTAAACGTTTAATAGTATACCGGCCTGGTAAGTCAGTAGTCAAATAATGAACTTGATATTTAAAAACCGAATACTCAACGACTCATTGGGAACCCAAGAACATCGCCTAAAAAGAGTCTAAATGGATGTGAAATAGAAATCTGTCACAATATTTCTACTTTCTCAGACATTGTCAAGGAAGTTTAAATAAATCAAATTCCTACCTAACCTTAACTTTAGAAGCAAACAACTAGCGGGCTGATGAGTTTCAAGAGTACCGAGCCTGCGCTTGATGATATATAAATGTGTAATTTGTATTTGATCATCGGATCATAATTATGTGTGACGTGCAAATATACAAACCCCAACACACATATTTGATCTTTGTCTAATATTTTTCCAGAAAATTCGAACACAAGTAATTTAGCTTGAACAGTAAACTGAATTTGAGTACTAAAAAAAATGATCAGATTCAATTAAACTATATAGATGTTTTTGCACGAAATGATCCTCATTTCTGTCACCCATGTAAGATAAATTTACAGTGGATCTACTTTCTTTGAAACCTGAAAATTAAACCACAGGTCATTGCATTAGCCCATCTCGATCTCACGTAGAATTACAAATAACTTTTGAAATATCTTGCCATTTTCAATAATCATGATGATGATTATGCATGATGGTTCTAGGACAATGATAATCTCCTGGAGTCTACACAATTAATCACCGCCGGGCAATTACCCCCAAGGACAATTATACCCCCGGAAAATTACAAATAGGACAACTACTCCCAAGGACAACCACCCCGAGGGCAATTACCAGCGAAAAATTACCCCCTAGGACACCTCCACCCCCTCTCCCAGGAGAATTACACACCAAGGATAATTACCACCCAGTAGCTTTGTTGCTCTCCGACACTCGGACCATATTCTAATAAATTTGAATAGATATCCGCCAGATTGATGAATATCCGTCATGCAATAATGTCAAAAGAGGGAAATTGTCCTTAAGGGGTATTTGTCCATAGAGTAACTGTCCTATTGGTAATTTTCCAGAAGGTAATTGTCCTTGGGGGGGGGGGGGGGTAGGAGTAATTGTCTCGCTGGTAACTTTTATGAGATGTTATCATTATCCTCCGATCGCATCACTCTTTCTACATCTTCTTTTTCTCCTTTCTCTCTCTCTCTTCATCTCTAATTTCCTCTATGCACGACTGCAAGGCTGAAAAACTGGCAATTGGGAAATAATAATTCTTATCTGGATTTCGTTCCTATATTTAATTTACATTACAAATACATCTCCTCTCGATCCCGCCCACAAACCTCTCTCTCTCTCTCTCTATTTCTCTCTCAAAAACTTTTGTTACAAATACATCCATCATTTTTTCATTTCATTTCTTACTATAATCTGTTTAATAAAATATCATTTACCTAATCATTACAAATACACAAACAAGTAGATACATGCCCAATTTGATATTGCACAGATGCATGCATTGCATTTGCCATAACTCATATCTAGGCTTAATTGGGCCACAATCAACACTTAATTACTGCACTGTAATTGATGTACATAATTCACTTCTACATAGTAAAATATCAAGAACTAATTATAGGCTAATTAATAATGCCTATAGGTCACAATTTGTTTATGTCGAATGTAATATTGATTATTATATAGGAACTTCAAAATAATTTATTCAAAATATTGACTGCACACACGGACTGTCAATGAATATGTATCCCATGAAATGTGATACATGTGTATACATTATTGAGTTGTCAACATTCAATTCCAGAGAGGCTTGTTCAGCTATGAAGTGATAAACGGCCACAAAAGAGCCCCTGCGGATGTAACGTGTAAAACAATGGTACATTCACCGAGATCTAACTACATTGTACCACATACATCTGTGAATCTTGATGTACACCCCCTCTTTCTTTCTTCTCTTTCTCTCTCTCTCTCTTTCCCCTTTTACTAATATTTGTTCCACCATATTCGTATTATTATGTATCCATTGAGGGTAGGCATGCTATCAAGCTTTGCTTACTTTGTCAACCCTCCTGTTTGATGTTTTCAATTAGTTACTTTATTCGACATTATATTCTTTTGAAATGTGTAAAATTTGCAATGTTTTGTTTGTTATATATTTTTAACAAGGGAAACGCTCTCGGCGGTCTCGCCTGCATTACGCAATTCAATACGATAAACCAGCACGTCAATGACGTAGCGCTCATCCGCATCTTGTAACAACAAATATCGTAAATTTTATGTAGTACACTTTTGAACTGGTCAAAAAATAAAAATTTGATGCCCTGGAAGGGACATAATTTCATTTCATTTGCATAAAGTACCATAAATAATCAATGGAGCAAAATCTCAAAATTCTGTGTAGAAGATTAGTGTACCAAAGTTAGCTATACCAGATAAAGCAAACCAAATCAAAATCGATAGAGAAATGAAGGAGAAGAAGCATTTTTTGTGATTTCGAATAAATTTGCATAAATTAGCGTAGATAATGAATTTCACGATTCTGTGTAGAAGTTTCAAAACCCCCTCCTAGCCCTATCATATGAAACAATCAGAATCAAAATCGGTTGAAAAATAACGAAGAAGAAGCATTTTGAAAATCTTGATGTTAATGCCACAACAAAGTCTAAGTTTGTTGACCTTAAATGTCCTGTGACCTTAACTTACTGACCTGAAATTCTACTCACATGATTGGGAAGACTTGATAACCCTATATAGTCTAAGTTTCATTGACTAAGAACTTATACTTTCAAAATGATATCAAAAATTCAAAAACTTAACCTTAGGTTAAGTTTTCGATGATGATGCTACAACATAGTCCAAGTCTGTTGACCTGAAATGACCTTTGACCTTGACTTTGTGATCTGAAATTCTACTCACATAAATGGGTATACTTGATTACCCTATAGTCAAAGTTTCATTGACTATAAAGTTACATCAAAAATTCAAAAACTTAACCTTAGGTTAAGTTTTTGATGTTGACGCCGCCGCCGTCGCCGTCACCGGAAAAGCGGCGCCTATGTCTCGCTTTTTGCTACGCAGGCGAGACAAAAATGTAAAAGAAAAACAAAATAAAACAGAAATAAATAAATCAAATCAAATCAAATCAAGATACACTTGAATGTGTAGCATATAACACTTTACGTTACCATAACAAAAAACAGGGTTTTGACGTGACATATCTGAATGAGCCTTCATTTAAATACAAAGTGGTTCTTTTGAATTCAATTAAGGGAGCTATGAGATGTCCAGACCTGTAAAATCATACATTAGATAGTATAGTATTAATGACTGCTTTGAGAGAAATAGTTGTTTTATTACGCTCAAGGGAAGGTTAGAATTGTGCTATTCCCCGAGGCTTGCCGAGGGGAATAGCCCAATTGTAACCTTCCCGAGAGCGTAGGAAAACAACTATTTCTCGAATATTAAAGCAGTCATTAATACTTTTATATGCCGAAAAAAAATAGACTAAAAAATGAAAAATGAAAAATATTTATCAATTTTGTCGAAGACGGGATTCGAACCCTTGCGTACAACAAGAGGTGTACCGAAAACCAACGCTTAGACCACTCGGCTATGGCCAGCCGTTAACATACTAGGCAGTTTTCTCCAATATATACATTAAAATGGATTGAAACCGGCTTCGCGTGTGATGAATGCTTCGCAAAAGCTCCATATACGGACTCTTCTTTTACTTTTGCAATGCATATTGGCACGAACTTAGATCAAGATCTATCGGCAGATGTTGTTTTTTTTGTTTTTGGAAGTTTATTTTCGTCTTCATGTCAACAATGCAAGATAAAATTGTCGGTAAGATCCGGGGGTAAGATCGATCGAGATTCAATTGTATTGAAATTACCGACCAATCCTTCGCACACATACGGCATCCTCCATCGCTCAAACCATTTTTTAACATGTAAACCTATGGGGTAACCATGGAGGCTGACCAACTTTTTTTAATAACCATGGTTATTAAAAATATTGAAATGTTTTATGCATGGTTACCGAGAATTTTACAGGAACAGTTGAAGTTTATGAATGCAATTCGACCAATCAGATGGCTGGATTTCTTAAGTGAGGTATATAATCTGAAATATAAAAGTATCCTTTTTTTTCTTCTTTTAACTCTGAAACATCACATCTTTTATTGGGCCTGAAACATATAGGGAGATAAAAGAATACTTATATAACAAAACCATCCAGGCAAATTATAAACAAAAAATATTTCGTTACTCAGTGAAATCTTTTAGTACATGGCGATGATGGCAACATATATTATATCAAGCAGACACAAAATAGGCTTATACATTAACTTTGCTTTTGGTCACAATTATTTTCAATATAATATACAGACAGGAAATTAAGGTAATTATATCAAATAAACTCTGGCTACTACAATGTACAAACACTGTTATTTTCACATTTCATATTTGATCTCTCTTCTACTTCAAATAGCCAAGAGAAAATGAGATCAGATGTTGATGATTACTTACAGAAATCAAAATCAAAATATTACTGTAACATTTATGCAGTGAGAATTGAATAACACGATTTGAACTTGTAGCTAACTGTACTTTAGACCAAAAAAGAAGCAGTGATAAGGAATAAAGAATTGGTTTGTGAGGATGCACCAAAACACACTGCTCAGTAGTCCTTCACCCTGGTCAGATGAGTCATTTTGCAAGATAAATTTCAGTTCTGGTCATGTAAATGTAATGTTAAAGAAACAATTGAAAACAGGTTGTTTATGCATGTGTAGTACATAATTGCTACAGCCCACAAGACCAACAAGGTCAGTCTCACGTACAATGTGACAAATACTTTGAGGGGTAATTCACTAGATCGACAGCCCCCCCCCCCCCTCCCCCGG